AGTGTAAGCTCCTCTGGTTCAGGGACAGGCTCTATGGACACACTGTGTGTACTGTGGCCCCTCCAGGGGTGGGGGGAGGGCCCTCTCTTGGCTCTGTGGGGCCCCCAGTTCTGCCAGCCCCCTCTTCCCTCCTGCTGACTCTCAGGATGGTCACGTGGGACAGGTCAGCCTACACCTCCCGGCAGGCTTAGCACCGGCGCCGTGTTCCCACGTGACCCAGGTTGGAGAGCTGGCGCCTTGCCCCGCCCCCCGCGAGCGCCGATTGGCGGAATTGGCCGGCGGCGGCGCTGCTGATTGGCTGGCGGTGGGTGCCAGTCAGGGCCGTCTCCATAGACAGGGGGAGAGTGCGAGGTGAGTGCTGCCTGTGCTGTGTGTGAGGAGGGGCCCCTGACAAGCGGCATGTGGGGGGCCCCGGGGGGGTACCGGCGGGGGGGGAGGTGGAGCGGGTCCCCGGAGAGCACAGAGAACAGTGCCAGGGGCCCAGCATCACGTGACTTCTGTCTGCTCATCCCTGGCCTACAGCTGCCTGGGGCCCCTGAGAGGAGGCAGGGGGCCCTGGGTGATCGCAGGGGCCCCAGGAGGGAGTGTGCTGGACGCCTGGCATTGTAGGTCCAGTCTGGAGCAGGGGCCCATATGTCTGCCGCCGTCCTGGCCTAGGAAGGGCCCCTGAGGAGGCAGCACATGGCCTGGGGCCCTCAGAGTGCACCTCCCCCCCTCATAGGGAGAGACATGAGGTGCCTGGCCTGGGGTCCCTTCTGTGTGCAGGCAATCTATGTACATGGGGCCCCTTCTGTGTGCAGGCAATCTATGTACATGGGGCCCCTTGTGTGTGCAGGCAATCTATGTACATGGGGCCCCTACTGTGTGCAGGCAATCTATGTACATGGGGCCCCTTGTGTGTGCAGGCAATCTATGTACATGGGGCCCCTACTGTGTGCAGGCAATCTATGTACATGGGGCCCCTACTGTGTGCAGGCAATCTATGTACATGGGGCCCCTACTGTGTGCAGGCAATCTATGTACATGGGGCCCCTTGTGTGTGCAGGCAATCTATGTACATGGGGCCCCTTCTGTGTGCAGGTAATCTGTGTACATGGGGCCCCTACTGTGTGCAGGCAACCCGTGTACATGGGGCCCCTTCTATGTGCAGGCAATCTATGTACATGGGGCCCCTATTGTGTGCAGGCAATCTATATACATGGGGCCCCTACTGTGTGCAGGCAACCCGTGTACATGGGGCCCCTACTGTGTGCAGGCAACCCGTGTACATGGGGCCCCTACTGTGTGCAGGCAACCCGTGTGTACATGGGCCCCTTCTGTGTGCAGGCAATCTATGTACATGGGGCCCCTTCTGTGTGCAGGCAACCCCTGTACATAGGGCCCCTACTGTGTGCAGGCAACCCGTGTACATAGGGCCCCTACTGTGTGCAGGCAACCCGTGTACATGGGGCCCCTACTGTGTGCAGGCAACCCGTGTACATGGGGCCCCTACTGTGTGCAGGCAACCCGTGTACAATGGGCTCCAACTGCCAAAACATGGACCATTCTGGGGTCACCAGTGCTACACCATATACCAGAGCAATGTAGGAGACACACAGTCCCCAGATTTTTCCCGCCTTGTCCCCGGCCTTTCCCCTTCCCGCCTAGTCCCCGGCCTCTCCTCTTCCCGCCTAGTCCCCGGCCTCTCCCCTTCCCGCCTAGTCCCCGGCCTCTCCCCTTCCCGCCTAGTCCCCGGCCTCTCCCCTTCCCGCCTAGTCCCCGGCCTCTCCCCTTCCCGCCTAGTCCCCGGCCTCTCCCCTTCCCGCCTAGTCCCCGGCCTCTCCTCTTCCCGCCTAGTCCCCGGCCTCTACCCTTCCCGCCTAGTCCCCCCGGCCTCTCCCCTTCCCGCCTAGTCCCCGGCCTCTCCTCTTCCCGCCTAGTCCCCGGCCTCTCCCCTTCCCGCCTAGTCCCCGGCCCCTCACCTTCCCGCCTAGTCCCCGGCCCCTCACCTTCCCGCCTAGTCCCCGGCCTCTACCCTTCCGGTCCTGGTCCCCGGCCTCTCCCCTTTCCGCCTAGTCCCCGGCCCTCTCCCCTTCCCGCCTAGTCCCCGGCCTCTACCCTTCCAGTCCTGGTCCCCGGCCTCTCCCCTTCCCGCCTAGTCCCCGGCCTCTCCCCTTCCCGCCTAGTCCCCGGCCTCTCCCCTTCCCGCCTAGTCCCCGGCCCTCTCCCCTTTCCCGCCTAGTCCCGGCCTCTCCCCTTTCCGCCTAGTCCCCCGGCCTCTCCCCTTCCCGCCTAGTCCCCGGCCTCTACCCTTCCCGCCTAGTCCCCGGCCTCTCCCCTTCCCGCCTAGTCCCCCGGCCTCTCCCCTTCCCTCCTAGTCCCCGGCCTCTCCCCTTCCCGCCTAGTCCCCGGCCTCTCCCCTTCCCGCCTAGTCCCCGGCCTCTCCCCTTCCCGCCTAGTCCCCGGCCTCTCCTCTTCCCGCCTAGTCCCCGGCCTCTCCCCTTCCCGCCTAGTCCCCGGCCTCTACCCTTCCCGCCTAGTCCCCGGCCTCTCCCCTTCCCGCCTAGTCCCCGGCCTCTCCTCTTCCCGCCTAGTCCCCGGCCTCTTCCCTTCCCGCCTAGTCCCCGGCCCCTCACCTTCCCGCCTAGTCCCCGGCCTCTCCCCTTCCCGCCTAATCCCCGGCCCCTCACCTTCCCGCCTAGTCCCCGGCCTCTACCCTTCCGGTCCTGGTCCCCGGCCTCTCCCCTTCCCGCCTAGTCCCCGGCCTCTCCCCTTCCCGCCTAGTCCCCGGCCTCTCCCCTTCCCGCCTAGTCCCCGGCCCTCTCCCCTTTCCGCCTAGTCCCCGGCCTCTCCCCTTCCCGCCTAGTCCCCGGCCTCTCCCAGTTAGCCTTTGGCGGCTTCCCTCAACAAACATATCTCGGCCTCTGCCCTTCCCCCTCCCATGTACATCCTTCCATTCAATGCTTGTCCACTTAGTCCCTGGTCTTTTCCTTTCTCCTATGTGGGGTCCCTGGTCTCTTCCCTTCCTACCATTTGGTCTCTGGCCCCTCCCCTTCCTCCCATGTAGTCTCTGGCCCCTCCCCTTCCTCCCATGTAGTCTCTGGCCCCTCCCCTTCCTCCCATGTAGTCTCTGGCCCCTCCCACTAAATAGTCCCTGGCCTCTCCTCTTCCTCCCATGTACTTCCTTCCAGTCCTGTAGTGTTGGGAATGTCGGCGAGGAGCTCAGGCCTACATGTTGATGAGGGTCTCCGGGGTGTGGGGGGTGGTACACATAGGGGGAAGCACACACCCAGGTTGATGAGGGTCTCCGAGGTGTGGGGGGTGGTACACATAGGGGAAGCACACACCCAGGTTGATGAGGGTCTCCGAGGTGTGGGGGGTGGTACACATAGGGGGAAGCACACTCCCAGGTTGATGAGGGTCTCCGGGGTGTGGGGGGGTGGTACACTTAGGGGGAAGCACACACCCAGGTTGATGAGGGTCTCCGGGGTGTGGGGGGGTGGTACACTTAGGGGGAAGCACACACCCAGGTTGATGAGGGTCTCCGGGGTGTGTGGGGGGTGGTACACATAGGGGGAAGCACACTCCCAGGTTGATGAGGGTCTCCGGGGTGTGGGGGGTGGTACACTTAGGGGGAAGCACACACCCAGGTTGATGAGGGTCTCCGAGGTGTGGGGGGTGGTACACATAGGGGGAAGCACACTCCCAGGTTAATGAGGGTCTCCGGGGTGTGGGGGTGGTGGTACACATAGGGGGAAGCACACACCCAGGCCTTGTTCTGCCTTCTCTCATCCCTCTCCATTGTAGTCTGTAGGCCGGTGACAGGTCCTCTTTACTTTTGCATCCACTTGTTTCATGTTCCTCTAATACAGGCTGGAGGACTACAAGTCCCAGAAAAAAGCAGAATTCCGACTTCTGAACACAAATCCTAAAACCTTCTAAAGATCTATTGGCTCTAATCTGGCAGCTCTCCACAAAGCGGGGGCCCATCTATCGGTATGGGGGAGGGGGGGGGGGCCACCCAAGGGGCACCCAGATTGGGGTCCGCATGCTGAGCCAAACAAACATCTCCAGAGTCCAACCGATTTCATTCATTCCACAAGTAACATTGGAGGAAATAGAAAGCAACCGACGCGTTTCGTCCAGGAAGTGCCCCTTCATCAGGGATTTCTTTTTAGTTTTAGATCGCAGAGAGAGGGATTGCGCCCCTGATGGGGGAACAGAGGGATTGCGCCCCCTGATGGGGGAACAGAGAGGGATTGCGCCCCCTGATGGGGGAACAGAGAGGGATTGCGCCCCCTGATGGGGGGAAAGAGAGGGATTGCGCTCCCTGATGGGGGAACAGAAAGGGATTGCGCCCCCTGATGGGGGAACAGAGAGGGATTGCGCCCCCTGATGGGGGAACGAGGGAGAGTCACCCTCTCTGTTTATTCTGTTTACTGATTGAAAGTGTGAGACAGTCTGAAATGTTTGGTGTCACCAGAACAGGAAGAGAGGTGAAATCTATCAATGGGGACAACCAGGGATTTCCTCTCTTCCTTTTGTGGCTAGGGGACAGGAAGTGAAGGTGATAATCCTCCAATACTCCACTCCTGTGCCGTGTCTGCAGTCTCTGACCCTCTCCTGTACTGTGTCCGCAGTCTCTGGTCATCTCCTGTACTGTGTCCGCAGTCTCTGGTCATCTCCTGTACTATGTCCGCAGTCTCTGACCATCTCCTGTACTGTGTCCGCAGTCTCTGGTCATCTCCTGTGCCGTGTCTGCAGTCTCTGACCCTCTCCTGTACTGTGTCCGCAGTCTCTGGTCATCTCCTGTACTGTGTCCGCAGTCTCTGGTCATCTCCTGTACTATGTCCGCAGTTCTCTGACCATCTCCTGTACTATGTCCGCAGTCTCTGGTCATTTCCTGTACCGTGTCCGCAGTCTCTGGTCATCTCCTGTGTACTGTGTCCGCAGTCTCTGGTCATCTCCTGTACTGTGTCTGCAGTCTCTGGTCATCTCCTGTACTATGTCTGCAGTCTCTGGTCATCTCCTGTACTGTGTCTGCAGTCTCTGGTCATCTCCTGTACTGTGTCCGCAGTCTCTGACCATCTCCTGTACTGTGTCTGCAGTCTCTGGTCATCTCCTGTACTGTGTCTGCAGTCTCTGACCATCTCCTGTACTGTGTCTGCAGTCTCTGGTCATCACCTGTACTATGTCCGCAGTCTCTGGTCATCTCCTGTACTATGTCCGCAGTCTCTGACCATCTCCTGTACTGTGTCCGCAGTCTCTGGTCATCTCCTGTGCCGTGTCTGCAGTCTCTGACCCTCTCCTGTACTGTGTCCGCAGTCTCTGGTCATCTCCTGTACTGTGTCCGCAGTCTCTGGTCATCTCCTGTACTATGTCCGCAGTCTCTGACCATCTCCTGTACTATGTCCGCAGTCTCTGGTCATTTCCTGTACCGTGTCCGCAGTCTCTGGTCATCTCCTGTACTGTGTCCGCAGTCTCTGGTCATCACCTGTACTATGTCCGCAGTCTCTGGTCATCTCCTGTACTATGTCTGCAGTCTCTGGTCGTCTCCTGTACTATGTCTGCAGTCTCTGGTCGTCTCCTGTACTATGTCTGCAGTCTCTGACCGTCTCCTGCACTATGTCTGCAGTCTCTGACCGTCTCCTGTATCTTGTCTGCAGTCTCTGACCATCTCCTGTACCGTATCTGCAGTCTCTGACCGTCTCCTGTACTCCGCCTGCAGTCTCTGACAGTCTCCTGTACTTTGTAGTCTCTGACAGTCTCCTGTACTTTGTAGTCTCCGACAGTCTCCTGTACTTTGTAGTCTCCGACAGTCTCCTGTACTTTGTAGTCTCCGACAGTCTCCTGTACTTTGTAGTCTCCGACAGTCTCCTGTACTTTGTAGTCTCCGACAGTCTCCTGTACTTTGTAGTCTCCGACAGTCTCCTGTACTTTGTAGTCTCCGACAGTCTCCTGTACTTTGTAGTCTCCGACAGTCTCCTGTACTTTGTAGTCTCCGACAGTCTCCTGTACTTTGTAGTCTCCGACAGTCTCCTGTACTTTGTAGTCTCCGACAGTCTCCTGTACTTTGTAGTCTCCGACAGTCTCCTGTACTTTGTAGTCTCCGACAGTCTCCTGTACTTTGTAGTCTCCGACAGTCTCCTGTACTTTGTAGTCTCTGACAGTCTCCTGTACTTTGTCTGCAGTCTCTGACCATCTCTTGCACTATATCTGCAGTCTCTGACCGTCTCCTGTACTGTGAAAAATAAAATAAAATATATATATATAAATCTTCAGCACATGTAACAACCCATACATTCCATCCATACAAAGAAATCAAAACAAATAAATTCACAAATGAAGTTGTGTCATAAAATGGAATGACAGAGGGAAAAAGTATTGAACACATGAAGAAAGGGAGGTACAAAGAGGCATGGGAAGCCAAGACACCAACTGCAATCTATCAGCAAATTAAAAAGCAATCCCGCCCCTTGTCAGTGCAAATTTATATCAGCTGCTTCAGACTCAACCGATGGCCTATAAAAAGGTGTCTCATTACCAAGGTGTCACACAAGAAACGTCTCATGATGGGTAAAAGCAAAGAGCTCTCAAGACCTTCGCAACCTTATTGTTGCAAAACATTCTGAGGGCATTGGTTACAGAGGGATTTCTAAACTTCTGAATGTTCCAGTGAGCACTGTTGGGGCCACAATTCAGAAGTGGTAAGAAGAGAATTCCACCATAGGAGCCACGACCAGGTGCTCCTCACAAGATTTCTGACAGGAGTGAAAAGAATTATCAGAAGAGTTGTCCAAGAGCCGAGGACCACTTGTGGGGAGGTTCAGAAAGACCTGGAATTAGCAGGCACAAAAGAACACAATAAGTAATGCACTCACCACCATGGCCTGTATGGACGTCATCACGCGCGACTGCATTGCTGAAGAAAAAGCATGTTGGAGGTCGTTTAAAGTTTGCTGCATGACATTTAGACCAGCTTGTGACATACTGGGGGAATATCGTCTGGTCAGGTCTGGTCTTTGGATGCCATAATACACACCATGTATGGAGGTCACATTGTACTGCACATCACCCCAAAAACACCATCCCAACTGTGAAGCATGGTGGTGGGAACATCATGTTTGGGGCTGGTTTTCAGCATACGTTACTGGCAAACGTCTTTTCATTGAATGAAGGATGAATGGAGAAATGGACCAAGACATTCTGCTGCCACCTACCAGGATGATGGAGATGAAACGAGGGCAGACGTTTCACGAAGACAATCATCCCAAACACAAAGCCGAGGAAACTCTCCATTGGATTCAAAGAATGAAAATAGAACGGCCCAGCCAATCCCCTGACTGGAATCCAATAGAAAATCTATGGAAAGAACTAAAGATCCGAGTTCATAGAAGAGGCCCACGGAACCTTCAAGATTGGAAGACTTTGTGTGGAAGAACGGGCCAAAATCCCACCTGAGCAACGCATGCGACTACAGGGAGCGTCTTGAAGCTGCCATTACCAACAAAGGATTTTGTACCAAGTATTCCACAAATTTCAGTTAGTGTGTTCAATACTTCTTCCCTGTGTGCCATTCCATGTTATGACACAACGTCATTTCTGAACTTGTTTGTTTTGGTTTCTTTGTGTGTGTATGGATGGCGCGGGTTGTCACCGACATGTGGGGGAAATTCCATGTCAATTCCAGAGAGGAAAATGGTGACGTGTTCAATACTTACCTTACCCGCCGTGTATATATATATATATAGTGAAAGGAAATGTGTATTTGCTTCCCTGCTGATGGTGAATGTTCGCCCCCTCACACAGAAATGATTGGTCTAACAATGGAATGTTCGCCCCTCACACAGAAATGATCGGTCTAACAATGGAATGTTCGCCCCTCACACAGAAATGATCGGTCTAACAATGGAATGTTCGCCCCTCACACAGAAATGATCGGTCTAACAATGGAATGTTCGCCCCTCACACAGAAATGATCGGTCTAACAATGGAATGTTCGCCCCTCACACAGAAATGATCGGTCTAACAATGGAATGTTCGGTGTAACACTGAGAGACAGAATACAGCAACAAATTCAGCAGAAATGCATCTAACAAATGATGACTGATCTGCATGTTCATGAGGGAAAGAAGGATTTGATCCCCTTCACAAAACATGACTTAGTACTTGGTGGCCAATCCCTTGTTGGCAATCACAGAGGTCAGACGTTTCCTGGAGTTGGCCCCCAGGTTCGCACACATCTCAGGAGGGGTTTTGGCCCACTCCTCTTGGCAGATCCTCTCCAAGTCATTAAGGTTTGGTGGATGACGTTTGGCAACTCGAACTTTCAGCTCCCTCCACAGATTTTCCATCGGATGAAGGTGTGGAGACTGGCTAGGCCACTCCAGGACCTTAATGTGCTTCTTCTTGAGCCGCTCCTTTGTTGCCTTGGCCGTGTGTTTTGGGTCATTGTCATGCTGGAACACCCATCCACCACCCATTTCCAATGGCCTGACTGAGGGAAGAAGGTTCTCACCCAAGATTTGAGGGTACATTGCCCCGTCCATCGTCCCTTTGATGTGGTGCAGTTGTCCAGTCCCCTTAGCAGAAAAACACCCCCAAAGCAGAATGTTTCCACCACCATGTTTCACAGTTGGGATGGTGTTCTTGGGGTCATAGGCAGCATTCCTCCTCCAAACACGGCAAGTTGAGTTGATGCCAAAGAGCTGGATTTTGGTCTCCTCTGACCACAACACTTTCCACCAGTCCTCCTCGGCATCATTCAGATGTTCAGTGGCAGACTTCAGACGGGCCTGGACATGGGCTTTCTTGAGCAGAGGGACCGTGCGGGCACTGCAGGATTTCAGTCCTTGTCGGCGTAGTGTGTTACCAATTGTTTTCTTGGTGACTGTGGTCCCAGCTGCCTGGAGATCATTGACAAGATCCTCACGTGTAGTTCTGGGATGATTCCTCACTGTTCTCATGATCATTGACACTCCACGAGGTGAGATCTTGCATGGTGCACCAGACCTAGGGAGACTGACACTTGTTTTGTGTTTCTTCCATTTGTGAATGATTGCACCAACTGTTGTCACCTTCTCACCAAGCTGCTTGGCCATAGTTTGGTAGCCCAGTCCAGCCTTGTGTAGGTCTACCATCTTGTCCCTGACATCCTTGGACAGCTCTTTGGTCTTTGCCATGGTGGAGAGTTTGGAATCTGATGGTTTGATGGCTCCTGTGGACAGGTGTCTTTTATACAGGTAACATGAGATTAGCAGCACTCCCTTTAAGAGACTGCTTCTAATCTCAGCTTGTTACCTGTATGAAAGACACCTGGGAGCCAGAAATCCTGCTGAATGATAGGGGATCAAATCCTTCTTTCCCTCATGAACATGCAGATCCGTCATCATTTGTTAGACGCATTTCTGCTGAATTTGTTGTTGTATTCTGTCTCTCAGTGTTACACCGAACATTCCATTGTTAGACCGATCATTTCTGTGTGAGGGGGGGGGGAACATTCCATTGTTAGACCGATCATTTCTGTGTGAGGGGCGAACATTCCATTGTTAGACCGATCATTTCTGTGTGAGGGGCGAACATTCCATTGTTAGACCGATCATTTCTGTGTGAGGGGCGAACATTCACCATCAGGGGGGAGCAAATACACATTTCCTTCACTGTATGTGTGTGTATATATATATATATATGTGTGTCTCATTGGGGAGGTTCCCCTTCACTTCCTGTCACATGGCCAAAACAGGAAGTGGGAGGCAATCCTTCCAAGGTGATTGAATCTCAGGGTGTCCCCCCACTGGAAGATTTCCCCTCTATTCTTGTTCTGGTGACAACTAAAAATGTGGGATTAATTTCACTCTCTGTGGTATTTCCTCACCAGCTCAGGGTAAGAGATGGGAAGAGCACACAGAGGAGTAAGCAGTGTATTGGCTGGTAACATGCGAGTCGCATAGGAGTTAGGAGCAACATGATGCCCTGCCACTGCAACAAGTCCCAACATATGAGCCAGCCTCAGCATGCTGCTACTTGTAGTTCAGCCAGAAAGAGCGCCAAACACCTTAAGAATTCAATGATACAAATGTATTTGTTGGCTGAGCGAGTTTTGTTACATTGTCACAGATTCCCAGTGGTGAAGCGCTGGTCACACTGCTGCGACTTATCATGTGACTTGTGACACGTAGAGTCACATGACAAGTCTAAATGTTATTGGCGCCGTCTTAATCAACGGAAGTCAAAGCGTAGCGTAAAGTCCAGTCCAGACACTCCCCCCCCCCCACCCCCCCCTTCCAGTCCGGACACTTTCCCCCCCTTCCAGTCCGGACACTTTCCCCCCTTCCAGTCCGGACACTTTCCCCCCTTCCAGTCCGGACACTTTCCCCCCTTCCAGTCCGGACACTTTCCCCCCCTTCCAGTCCGGACACTTTCCCCCCTTCCAGTCCGGACACTTTCCCCCCCTTCCAGTCCGGACACTTTCCCCCCCTTCCAGTCCGGACACTTTCCCCCCCTTGCAGTCCGGACACTTTCCCCCCCTTCCAGTCCGGACACTTTCCCCCCCTTGCAGTCCGGACACTTTTTCACCCCCCTTCCAGTCCGGACACTTTCCCCCCCTTCCAGTCCGGACACTTTCCCCCCCTTCCAGTCCGGACGCTTTCCCCCCCTTCCAGTCCGGACGCTTTCCCCCCCCCTTCCAGTCTGGACGCTTCCCCCCCTTCCAGTCCGGACGCTTTCCCCCCCCCTTCCAGTCCGGACGCTTTCCAGTCCGGACGCCCCCCTTCCAGTCCGGACGCTTTCCCCCCCCTTCCAGTCCGGACGCTTCCCCCCCCCCTTCCAGTCCGGACGCTTCCCCCCCCCCCTTCCAGTCCGGACGCTTCCCCCCCCCCCTTCCAGTCCGGACGCTTTCCCCCCCCCTTCCAGTCCGGACGCTTTCCCCCCCCCCTTCCAGTCCGGACGCTTTCCCCCCCCCTTCCAGTCCGGACGCTTTCCCCCCCCCCTTCCAG